AAAAAAAAAAAAAAAAAATAAATAAATAAATATATATATATATATATATATATTCGTTTTCACGTCTACACCAAATCAATTTGGAGTGCTTTGAGTAGCAAAATTGTCAAATTATATATTTTTCACTAGTCTCCCTTGATCGGCGCACCTCACCTACTTTACTATAGAATTAGACTTGAAATTTTACGAACAACAATTCGAAAACAGAAAGGAAAAAATTGAAACCCTGACATTAAATGGATCCTTCTATATCTTGGGACTCCTTGCGAAAACAGGTACGTAATTGTACACATATGTGAACGGTTTTTGTGTTATCTGCATTGACTGAATGTTGGATCTATTGTTCTGTATTGATTTGATTGTTCTGGTTTATAACCTAAGATTGCCAGTTGAATCTGATTGACAATTGGGGTTCATAAGATATATTTTCACGGAAAAAGCACAAAAGGGTTTTAGAGAACTATCATTTCATCACAAGGAACATGTTACAATATAGAACTTTTTTCTGCCAAAATTGATGCTATATCTCCTTTTCTTGAAAAACGATGATGTGCATTGGCTATGTTTTGATTTCATGTAACCAGTAGGATTTTTTTTTTTTTTTTAAATAAAGAAAATTGTGAAATCCTTTCAGATGATGTCATTCGTTGGGTATATTATTTTTTTGTAGATCCATATCCCACGAGTTATGGTGGAAATTTCTGTTTGCTCATAGTACATTGAATTTTTAGTGTTTCCAAATTGCCTTCATTTGCTGTCATTTTAATTATTCATCGTTATGGAACAAATTTATAATGCAGATAAGGTTGTGTAGTGCTCTAACCCAAAAGAGATCTGAACCCATTTTGTGTTTCTTTTAAATCCTAAGCTTCTGTTGGGAAATTTTTTTACTTGCCCTATCACTATTCCTTTTTTTATAGAAAAGTCTATATTACCCTTAATGAAATGATTCTTTGTATATTGCAACATATATCCTAATCTTTTAAATATTTTATCTTCTATTTTGAATATTTGAATATAAATCCATTCTATAATCTAATAAATAAGAATAATCTGCAATATATAGTTCATATTTTCTAATTAACTACTATATTTTTTAAATGGTAAATTTGTATTTTTTAATCTACAAATAATATTTTTTATTTTTTCTAACATTATTTCTAGTAAATTATCTAATCTTTAAATTGTATATCCTGGCATTTATAAAAATAATCATTAAATCATGCAATTGTCCCTGTAATTCTTTTAAGATCTAAAAAGATTCATTCTAATTTTAGCAAAAGTTTAATAGTTTTTCTTTAGATTTGATATGGACTTTTATTCTTAGAACCGAGTGACCTTCGAGTTTTGAATCTGTAAACTGCTTCCTTCAACGGCTTTCTCCCTTTACGAAATTGTTACTATTTCAGCTACTTGCTCTCACTGTATCAACTTTTAAAAATAAAATTCTAGACTTCTGTTAAAGAAAAACTCTATTTTTGCTAAAATAAGAAGGAAACTTTCTATTTGATCCTTCAAGAATTTATGGGAAAAAAATTTAGAATCTCATATTGATATCAAAATATTTGGGTTTTATTTCAGAATTTATATAAGACTTCTATATTGTACAAAGGAATTTTCAGAAAAACTGGTTTTACAAACCGGAAATGGTTTTAAAAGTAGCTATTGCTTACAATTTGAGATTTCAAGATAAGATAAGATGATCCCTCTATCTATACAATGTCTCTATTTATATCAGTTTATGAAATTCTATTACATCATTGAGTACATCAGCAAAGGCACACTTGCCTTTCTATTATTTTCCTCCTTAGGTCTACATCTTCACATGCTGGTTCAACTTTTTATTCAAAGAGCATCTTTTTCTATTATTGATCTTTATCTTCAATGTTTTCATATACATCTGTATTATTGTCCTCCATACACCTTTGTCAAGGTGCTCTATTATTGTCATCTTCTCTTTATTTCTTTACATGCAGCTGGGGTACTCTCTTAGCTGGCAGGATTCTTTTATAGTGGTTGGACATCCTGAAAATTGATGTATATCGAATCTTGTAATATAATCTTTCAAAATTTTTGATTTTTCATATCCTCCATTGGATACCAGCATCCAATTTTTATATTGGCATAGACATGAGAATTTTTTATCAAACAGATTTTTAGCAATATTATATATGACTTTAATTCCAAGTACTCTTCTATGTTTGATCCATGACTTTGTCACTGTTGGAACTTTTCTATCATTTTCTGTGACATCTATTTGGAAATTAGCTGCAACATATCCAATTGATATTATGTGTTCAACTGGATAGTAAACAACACAATCATATTCTGGACTTATTGAATATAATTTCAAATATATTTTCCGTCCCTTGGCAAATCTATATACTTTTTTTATGAATATGTCATCAAATTTCAAAATTTCAATCAAATCTTTTCATGGATATATCAAATCCATGAATTCATATTCTGCCATAATTTTATAAATGAAGGGTTTTCTCCTTTCATGGCTGTTATTCTGGGATAAACATTATTTCCCGGAAAGATGAAATATGAATCACTCATTTTTATTTCATAAGCAATTTTGACTATTTCGACATCTTTTTCTTCTTTTGGATCTAAAGAGATTTTATCTTCTTAGTCTATGATGTTGATTGTTTTGGTATTTTTTTATCTCCATGTATCATAACTTTTTGGTTGATGATACTGAAATGAAATCTCCTTTATTATCAGTTGGTATGTTGTCACGTCTGGGTCCACTGCTGCTTCCAGCTGTACCTGTTTGGTATTGATTTGGAAAACTCATTTCTGAGCTCTTTGGTATATCTGTCTTGGACAATATATCTTTTAGTTGTGCTGTAATAGCATCAACTTGATTTGTGAGTTCTATGGCATATTTATGATACTCAATAGTGATATTCAACAGTATTTTTATATTTGAGTTGAACATCTTTGAGATCTGGATTGCTCTAGAGTTTATATCTTCAGGTTCTTCTTTAAGAAAGTCTGTTCTTTATTGTATATGTAGGATAGATTGATATAATTCCATAACCTTGATTTTATCTATCAGCAAATTTTATGTTTCTGCTGAGAAAATCTGCAAGAAAATTATCAACTTCTTTAATATGGACAATATCAAAGTTATAAAATGTTAAAAATCAACTCCTGTATTGGGGTTCTGATGGTAATTTATTCCTGACTAATCCTGCAATTTGAAAATTATTAGTCTCAACAGTAAATTTCTTGGATAATAAAAATAATGAGAACTTCTTTATTCCTCTAATAATTGCTAGTAATTCTTTCTCATGAGGAGTATAATTTATTTCTGCTTGGTTAAAGGTTCCACTTGAATATCTACAAATTTTATTTAGATCTGTTTTTAATATTGCTACCCGATATTTATCTGAGGCATCTGTATTAACAATCAAATTATCCTTTTCATTTGGTGATCTTAATTTTGGTAAATTTTTACATTCTTCTTTTAATGATTTGATTATTTTTGTATGTTCTTTATTCCATCATTTAGTATTTATTTTTCTGCGTAATACTTGGATTTTATGTCTTTTTTTAGAAAGATTTTCAATAAATTCTTCTGCATAATTTAAACATCCTAAAAATTTTTGTATTTGTTCTTTGAATTCTAATTTATCTGGAAAACTTTCTATCTTTTTGGATATATGAGTCTGTAATTTTATCGCTCTTTTATCTATTGATAATCCAAGAAGGTTTATCTGTTGTTTTTCTATTATAAATTTCTTTTTAGATAGTACAATTCCTTTTTTTTTTTACATTCGTTAATAAATTGGATTAAATAATTTCTATGTTCTTCTTTACTATTAGAATATATTAATATATCATCTATATAAACAATTAGAAATTCATTAAACTTTTCAAATATATTATCCATTTTTCTTTGATATATTTGTGGTGCATTTTTTAAACCAAATGACATAACTGACCATTCATATTTTCTTTGAGGTGTGCTAAATGCAGTACATTGTATACTGTCTTCTTCCATTTTTATTTGCCAAAATCATGATTTATAATCAAATTTAGAATAATATTATTTTCCTTTTGCAAGATTTATTAACACTTTTTTATTTGGTAGAAAGTAACTATCAAATTTAGGGGGTGTATTCAATTGAGACTTTTAAGGACTTTGATCGACTTTTTTTAAATGATGACTTTTGTGGATTTCGGAGATCTTTTATAGATTTGTATGGAATTAGTGGAAGTCTTTCGTAGACTTCTATGGACTTTCATTTTAAATTTTTTATAGACTTTTGTAGAATTATAAAGACTTTTGAAAACTTTCATTTGAAGTATAATTCACGTGAATCTAGTACAATTGTGTGAAATTCTCACATACGAGATGTTAGTTCCCACAATTCTCCATTCTTTCCATTCTTCTGCACATATGATAAAAATATTTGAAAAAATAAAAATTTAAGACCTTAATGAAATAAATAATAATAAAAGTTATACATATATATGATTCAATATTATTAGTATAGTATACTTTTAAAAATTTTATAATTTTATAAAACAATAGATATTTTACACAAAAAAATGAATGAAAAAAGAAAAAAAGTTATAAGAATTCAATTTAATTTTTTCATAGAAAATAGAGATAAATAATAAGATAGAGAAAGAATAAAAAATAGAAAATATAATTAATAGAAAAAAATAAATTTTAATCATACATGTCCATAAAATGTTAAAAGAAAGAAAGATTGAAAAAAAATGTGAAAGTCTCTCAAAATCTCGTGATTCATGAGAGACAAATTTTAAGATTTTATATAAGTACCTTTTGTTTAAAAGTTAGTATTTCAGAGATTTTTATAAAAGTCTCTAAAAGTCATTAAAATTTGAATACCCGTAGACTTATAGAGACTTTTAAAAAGTCTCAATTGAATACATCGTGACTTTTAGAGACTTCTTAAAAGTCTATAAAAGTCTCAATTGAATACACCATGACTTTTAAAGAGTTTCAAAAAGTCTCAATTGAATACTCCTAAACTCTTTAAATCCCAAAAAGTCATTAAAAGTCTCAATTAAATACGTATATTTGTTTAATTCTTTATAATTTATGACTATCCTAGCTTTTCCTCTAACTTGTTCAGAATGTTTCATAACCATAAAGGCTGGACTACTATGAGGTCCATTACTATGTCTAATAAGTTTTTGTTCTAAGAATTCTTTTATCTAATTTTTAAATTCTTGTGTATCTTCTATAGTATACATTATTGGTCTGACTCTTATTATAATATTTTCTGTT